ACAACTAGCTCTCATGAGAACTAATGGAGCAAGAACTCACTCATTACCCTGGGGAAGGCACTAGGCCAGTCATGAGGGATCCACCCCCATAACCCAAACACCTTCTGCTTGGCCTCACCTCCAACATTGGTGATCAAATTTCAACATGAGATTTGGAGGGAACAAACATCCAAACTATATCACTATTATTATTTTTTTTATTGATAAGGAAACCAAGAGATAGAGAGTTAGTAACTGGCTCGTGATCCCACAGCTAATAAGCAGAGCCACAATTTGGATCCATGCATTCTGGCTCCAAAGTCTGTATTCTCCAGTGCTCCACTCTGCTTCCTGTAAGTAGACCAGTAGTTGTTTCAAATTCATATATTTTACCATGTATACTTTTTTGTAAAGTAGAGGTCATTGGACCATCTCTCAGATAATATTTCCACTTACTTTACAAAAGTCCTAGCCATCCTGTTTATCTTGTTTCAAACCATTACAGCCTAGACACCTTATGCTAAAAAGAGAGAGGATTTTTTTGGTAGCTTTCTAACAGGTTTTAAAAAGACGACAGCAGCAGAAAAGCCATTTTAAAAAATGCCAGTACAGTGGCTCACACCTGTAATCCCAGCACTTTGAGAGGCTGAGGCGGGCGGATCACGAGGTCAGGAGATTGAGACCATCCTGACTAACATAGCGAAACCCCATCTCTACTAAAAATACAAAAAATTAGCCAGGCATGGTGGCAGGCACCTGTAGTCCCAGCTACTCAGGAGGCTAAGGCAGGAGAATCGCTTGAACCCAGGAGGCAGAAGTTGCAGTGAGCTGAGATCATGCCACTGCACTCCAGCCTGGGCAACACAGCAAGGCTCTGTCTCAAAAAAACAAAAAAGTCAAAGAAACCAAGACCACAGCAGGCTGAGTCCATTTAGTGTGAGGGAAAGTTACCTTCATTCCTTAATGTCCCTAGAAGGCATCCTTGACTCAAAGTAGAGCATTATGTCAACTAACTTCTTTTTTTTTTCCATATAAAGCCAGCATTATCCTAATACCAAACCAGAAAAGGACACAACCAAAAAATAAAACTACAGACTGATCGTTAGATAGCTTTGATGGATATAGATACTAAAATCTTAAACAAAATACTAGCTAAATGAATCCAATGACATATCAAAAGAAAATCCACAATGATCAAGTGGATTTCAAACCAGGGATGCAGGGATGGTTTAACATAAACAAGTCAATAAAAGTGATACACCACGTACACAGAATTAAAAACAAAAATCACATGAGCATCTCAATAGATGCAGAAAAAGCATTTGACAAAATCCAGCATCTCTCTATGATTAAAACCCTCAGCAAAATCGACATACAAGGGACATACCTTAATATAATAAGAGCCAGCTGCGACAGACCCACAGCCAACATAATATTGAATGGGGAAGGGTTGAAAGCATTCCCTGTGAGAACGGGAACAAGACAAGGATGCCTACTCTCACCACTCCTCTTCAAAGTTAGGGACTTTGAAGAATATAAGGAATATAAAGTTTTTCATAAAACCAACTTCTTTATATTCCTCAGAGTCCCTAAAAAAGTAGAGTAATTTTGTTTTTAATGATGTACCAAGTATCAAGAAATAGGTATGTAGCATTCTGTGAACTCAATAAAATTAGCAATGATATATTTTAGATATATTTCTAGAAACTTTTTAAAATCTCTAAGAAAATTTCTCTATGTTGACTATTCAACAGATCATCTGTTGTAAATTACATGAGGTATTACTATATTTACCTAAGTAAGACACAAATCCAATTCCTCTGGTCTTCTTAAGACGGCACTGATGTTAAAACTGACAAAACCTACAGGGGGCTGGGCACAGTGGCTCATGCCTATAATCCCAATGCTTTGGGAGGCCAAGGTGGGAGGATCACTTGAGCCCAGGAGTTTGAGACCAGCCTGGGCAACATGGTGAGAACCTGTCTTTACAAAAACAAAACAACAAAACCCTGCTTGGGACAACAAGCATCTTCAAATATGACATGTTTTCTTTGGAACTTTAATTTATTAATAGTTTAGATCATGAATATTATTTTATCTAAATTCTATAACTTTTTGGATAAAATCATGGGATAGATTTGAACTGAATATTCTATGTGTAGATAGTGGTACAACCCATTTGTCCCCCTGTGCTCAGCCAAGTTGGTTTATTTTCTATCCCAGAAACACATATTGTACTTTCATACCCCTACACTTTGACCTCTGCTGTTCCCTCTACTCGGAACCCTACCCCCTCTTCTTTTATTTTATTTTATTTTTTATTTTATTTTATTTTTTAATATTGAGATAGGGTCTTGTTATATGTTACCCGTGCTGGTCTCAAACTCTTAAGCTCAAGTGATCTGCCTCCCTTGGCCTCCCAAAGTGCTGGGCCTACAGGCGTGAGCCACCATGCCCAGTCCACCCCATCTTCTTTAATCTGCACATACTTTTGAGATTTAAAAGCTTTACCCTCTCTCCATTTCAGCCCACAATGATCTCTTCTGCTTTGAGATTCATATCTATTGTCTATTTACCTATGAATGACATAGAACCCAGGACTCATTTTCTTTTACGGTCTGAGCTGTAATTCTGATGTTGCACTGTCTTTCTTGTGAGTGAGAGGTAGTATGGAGTAGGTTAAGAGGAAGGAGTCCAGAACCAGACTACTTGGGCTTAAATCTCAGCACTGTCATTTACTAGCTGTGTGATCTTAGGCAAATTACTTTACCTCTCTTTTTTAATCTATAAAAAGGAATAATATTTTTTCAACTACTTCATGGATGTATGTGAAAATTAAATGAGTGACTATATGTAAAACAGAACAATTATTGGTGCATAAAAAGTGTTTTGTAAGTGTAAGCTGTGATCATCACGATTATGTCCTCAAGTGATTTCTAAGCTCTTTGAGGGCAGGAACTTTGTACATATTGTGTTCCTCACAAGGCCTGCCCTAACTTTGTAGATATCTAATGAAAGTTTACTGAGCTAAATAAGACTAAAAAATGAGGTCAGATGCAGTGGCTCACCCCTGTAATCCCAGCACTTTGGGAGGCCAAGATGCGCAGATCACCTGAGGTCAGGAGTTCAAGACCAGCTGGGCCAACATGATAAAACCCCATCTCTACTAAAAAATACAAAAAAAATCAGCTGGGCATGGTGTCACTGGCTTGTAATCCCAGCTACCTAGGAGGCTGAGGCAGGAGAATCGCTTGAACCTGGGAGGCGGAGGTTGCGTGAGTTGAGATCGCACCACTGCACTCCAGACTGGGTGACAGAGTGAGACTCCATCTCAAAAAAAAAAAAAAAAAAAGAATAAAAATGAGTAATTCAATGGAAAAAGATCTGGAAGGATATATGCCAAGATGTTAATGTGTGGGTGGTTGGAATTATAAGAATTCCTTATATTATTTTCGCTTGTCTTTATTTTCTGATTTATAATAATGCATATGTATACTTTTTCTTTAGATTAATGAGAAAAATGAGCCTGGAAATTGACAGTCACAGAAAGGATGTTATGCAGTATTTTTCATTTTTTCTTGTGTAAAAATTGTATTTTTTCTAAACACTGTTCATTCTGCTCCTTTACTTGCAATTCTACTGTCTCCCAAACTCTCTTTTTAATCTTATTTATTAATGGTTGATATCTGAATGTTTTTTAAGATGCCTAATGAAATGTATCTTTGCTTGTTAATTATAGTGATTAATTATAATTAATCATTATAATGATTATAATGCATTATAATGCAGTGCTTTGCATTAATGGTTCTTTTGGTTTATTTTAGCTTATGGTGCTGCTATCTGGAGTAATAGCTTTCATGGTGAACTTATCAATTTATTGGATTATTGGGAATACTTCACCTGTCACGTATCCTTTTTATATAACTTTCAAATGCATCATCTTTTATATCTTCCAAAACTTTCACATTTATTACCTTATTTGAATCTCACACTATTGCATGGTCTAAATTGAGTAGAGAGAGTTATGTTTAACCTTTTACTGTATCTTTACACACTAAAGGATTTTAAAGAAATATGAACTGAAAGGGCGAGTGTGGTGGCTCACACCTGTAATCCCAACACTTTGGGAGGCTGAGGTGGGTGGATTGCGTAAGGCCAGGAGTTCAAAATCAGCCTGAATAACATGGTGAAACCCCATCTCTACAAAAAATACATAAATTAGCTGGGTAAGGTTGTGCACACCTGTAATCCCAGCTACTCTTGAGGCTGAGGCACAAGAGATGCTGGAACCAAGGAGTTGGAGGTTACAGTGAGCCAAGATTGTGCTACCACACTCCAGCCTGGGCAACAAAGTAAGAAGACTCTGTCTCAAAAAAAAAAAAAAAAAAGGGTTAGCTTCTTGTGTCATGAATGTTTTTGAATTTTCTTATGTAATAGGTGACCTTTTCCCTTGCAAAAATTAACTAAGAGTACCATTTCTTATAGACAGTGCAATTAAATAAATATTTTTTGAATGAGTAGTGAGGTAGAGGTTTGGATTTTCAAACAATTTTCAAGTATTTATATTAACAAAGTAGAGGAATCGTTAACAAATAACAAAAGATAATTTTAGGCCACTGGCATCTGGCTATGGAGTATGTATTTGTACTTAATTGGATATGGGTGTACCTGTTTTTCTCAATATTATTTCAAGTCAAGAAATGAAGTCATTGGCTGGGTGCCATGGCTCACGCCTATAATTCCTACACTGTGAGAGGCCAAGGCAGGAGGATCACTTTGGCCCAGGAGTTTGAGACCAGACTGGGCAACGTAGGGAGACTCTATCTCTACCAAAAACAAAAAAGAAAAAGAAGGAAGTCACAAATTAAAGGTCAAATTCAACTGTCCATTTACACCATTCTGCTTGTCATTCTGTTTCTCTTCACATTTCACTTTGCCCCCACCCTTAGGCAAATGCAAAGAATGAATTTCTCCAGGAAGTAAATAAGTAGGATATTAGCCAACTATCAATGAAAAACAATGATAAGTTTTTTGGAAAACCAGTACTTAACAACTCTTTATTTTGCATCAGATACTGCTAGAAACATTTTGTGTATATTAGTCCATTTAACTCTCACAGCAGCTCTGTGAGGTAAAGTCCGTCATTTTAGTTTCTAGAGGAAATAGAGGCACAGAGAGGTTAACTCACTAAGTCCACACAGATGACAAATGGGATGTCCAGATTTGAACCCATGCAGTCTAGTCCCAAAATTTGTACATCATGCTACCCAAACAAGGCATCCAAATATGTGCTCTGATTAAAAACATTCATTTATTCAATAAGTATTTATTGAATACCCACTAAACCATTCATTGATTTTAAAATATTTATGTACTGAACATTCTACTCTATGCCAGGCACCAGTGATGCAGTAATGAACCGCATAGGCAAAAGTCTTTACTCTCACAGCCTTAAATTCTGGTGAGGAAGTCTAGAAATAGAAAACAATTAAATATTTATCTGCAGTATAGGATGGTGTTAACTGCCAAGGAGTAGAAGTAAAGGAGGGAAGAGAATGTGAAATGTTGTAGACAGTGTTGAAGTCCTAGGCAGGGCTAGTCAGGAAGGCCTCAGTGGGAAGGTGACATTTGAGTAAAGACCTGAAGGAAATGTGGTTGCTCCGTGCAGATCAGGAGGGAAGAACATTCCAGGCAGAGGCAACAGCAGGTGCAAGGCCCTAAAAGAAAAACAAGGAAGCCTGTGAGGTTGGAGCAGGTTGAGCAAAGGAGAGAATGTGGTAGGCTGAGAAGTAACACGGAACTGAATCTAGTAGGGCCTTTATGTAAAGACTGTTACACTGAGTAAGATGGGAAGCCATTAGCATTTTGAGCAGAGAAATGACATGATTTTACTTACGTTCTAATACACTCACCCAGTGGGCCAGGTGCAGTGGCTCATGCCTATCATTCCAACACTTTAAGAGGCCAAGGCAGAAGGATCACTTGAGCCCAGGAGTTCAAGACCAGTCTGGACAACATAGCAACACCCTGTCTCTACAAAAAGTTTTTTAAAACAAAATAAATAATAGAGTCACTCAGGGCTCCTGTGTTGAGAATAGACTAAAGAAGGATTTCTCAACCTCTTGGCTGTTGACTTTTTGGGCCAGATGGTTCTTAGTGCAGGCCTGTTTAATACACTGTAGGATGTTTTCAGCATGCCTGGGCTCTACCACTAGATGCCAGCAGCATACATACCCTTTGCCCAATTGTGACAACCAAAAATGCCTCCAAATACTGCCCACAAAGCAGAATCACTCATGGTTGGGAACTAGTAGACTGAAAGAGGCACAGGAAACTGTCAGAAGACTGCTGCTGCATTCTAATTTAGAAGTAACAGTGGTTACCAGGATGGTAGCAGTGGACACAGTGAGAAGTTATTGGATTCTGGATATATTTCTAAGAAGAGCCAACAGGTTTTGCTGCCTCGTTGGATGTGGAGAAAGAAAACAAGGCTGATTCACATGATTTTTGGCCTGAGCGTCTGGTAAAATGGAGTTGCCATCAACTAAGATAGGATAGCCAGAAGGAGGTTTGGGGCTGGGGAGGAAGATCAGGTGCTCGGTTTGGGGAGTATTTTTTTGTTGTTGTTTTTGAGACAGAGTCTTGCTCTGTCACCCAGGCTGGAGTGAAGTGGCATGATTATGGCTCCCTGCAGCCTTGAACTGTTGGGCTCGAGCAGTATTCCCACTTCAGCCTTCTAAAATGCTGGGATTACACATGTGAGCCACCACGCCCGGCCAGGTGCTCAGTTTTGGATAAACAAGTCTGAGGGTTCAAAGGCGACGTCTCGGCAGGAGGCGTCACAGGGAGTCAGCAGTGAGAAGCTGTGATTTAAAGTGGTGAGACTGGTTGAGGTTACCAAGCACACAAGTAGAAGAAAAGGAGTCCAAAGATTGAGAGTTGGGTTTGAGTCCAGTGTTTGGAATTCAGAGAGATGAGAGGAACTAGGTAAAGGATGAGAAGGAACAGTCAGAGGTAGGAAGGAAGAGAGTGGCACAGAACCCCAGTGAGGAGGAGGAAGGGTTGGCATCTGTGTCCGATGCCACTGGCAGGCCAAGTTCAGGGAGACTGGTCACTGATGAAGGGCTGAGTGAGGTGGAGGGCACTGGGTTTGGCCAGAACATTCTGAGGGTTGGGGTGACAGCCTTCCTGGAGTAAAGTGCAGAACTGGAAATACTACATGTAGACTGCTCTTTTTTTGTCATTTTTACAGAAGGATTCATGAATAGTTTCTTTAAATTTGCCTTCCTTCTAGTATAAATACACTTAAAAGAGAAGCCGAGGAGTAAAGAAATTTAAAGTGCACATGAAGAAAGCTCATAATTGAAAATAAAACATATTTTATTTTGATTATTGCCAGTAACCTTGGGAAGATCTTCTGTGGCTCAGGAAGTCACCTCCGTGGGATCAAGCTAGCACACGCACCTGGTGACATAGCCCATGCTCTCCTGAGACACTGCCTCTGCTCAGCGGGGACCTCCAGGCTGCTTGGGAGGGCTTGGAGGTCAGACAGGTCCAGGTGTGAGCACTGAGCTCTGCCACTACCTGTGGGCCTGACCTAGCGTGGGAACTCTCAGGGTCTCACTTTGATCACTTAGGAAATGTATGAAGTGGAGGAAGTAGGATCTATGATGTTGGGTGGTTCTATTTGAGAGAATGTGTCAGGCGCCTGGCAGGTGTTTCTGACACATAAGTACTGTTGTTGGTAACTGTTATTGTAGCTAGCACATACGGTGCTTACTATATGCTAGAAGCTTTGTGTATATTATTTAGTCCTTACAATAACCGTGGAAAGTATTATTTTGCCCCTCTTTTATAGTGAGGAAACAGGCACAGAGTGGTAGCTGTTTCTAGTGTTGTAATTAGGAAAAGCACATAGGCACACATCATACATCTGAAGAACAAGAGAGCACTCATTTATATAGAAAAAATAATTATATTTAAATATAAGTAATTTTAAAAGGTGTACATGTATTTAGTTTGCTTTTTAAATGAATGATGATTTGGAAAAACGTTAATGCAGTGGCATGTTACTGGAGGTATATTGGATTAGAACATGGACTTTGGAGTTAAATAGGCCCATTTATGTTTGGACTCCAACTCTGCTACTTAATAGCTCTAATCTGGGACATGCTACTTAAAATCTCTGAGCCTCTACAACTGTAAATAGGAATAGTGAGCCTGCAGTGAAGGTAAACGTGATACCTAACTCAGATGATTTCACGTAAATCGCCCAGCATGGGGTTTGGCGTGTAGTTGGTGATCAGTGTGACCCCTTTTCCCTCCTGAACTCAAGTGAGCTCTCTGGTACCTTATATATGTCACCTCATTTGCCAAGGAAACGCCACTACAAAACATAAATTGCTGTACAAAATATCTTCCCTGGACCTTGTTCTGATTGTCTTTCCTTTTATATTGTATCCTTTTCTCTTCTTTGGAGGTCAGTAGGAATGGCTGAGGCAGTGTTGTGTCTCTAATTGCTAAAACCTACCTGAAGAAACTAAGAAGTTCCCATTATTCCTTGTTTTTGAGATAGTCTTGCTCTGTCGCCCGGACTACAGTGCAGTGGTGTAATCTTGGCTCACTGCAACCTCCACTTCCTGGGTTTAAGCGATTCTCGTGCCTCAGGCTCCCAAGTAGCTGGGATTATAGGCGTGCGCTACCACGTCCAGCTAATTTTTGCATTTTTTGTAGAAACAGGGTTTCACCATGATGGCCAGGCTGATCTCAAATTCCCAGCCTCAAGTGATCCACCCACCTCAGCTTCCCAAAGTGCTGGGATTGCAGGCGTGATCCACCCTGCCTGGTCCCATTGTTCTTTATGTGGGGTGGGTTGCTGTTGGCTGTTGAGTTGTTTTATGCATTATGTGTGTGTGTGTGTAAATATAACATCTATCTTGTTATTCCTTTTTATCCTTATCCAAAAACCTCAGCTATAACATGTTTGGACACTTCAAGTTCTGCATTACTTTATTTGGAGGATATGTTTTATTTAAGGATCCACTGTCCATTAATCAGGCCCTTGGCATTTTATGTACATTATTTGGCATTCTCGCCTATACTCACTTTAAGCTCAGTGAACAGGAAGGAAGTAAGAGTAAACTGGCACAACGTCCTTAATTTGTTTTTTGCGAAGAAAAGAATGTTGTCCCAAGAAGATAAAAAAATATTGTTAAGTGTGCAAGTTACTAAAAAAAAAAAATGGTGACCGATTCAATGATTGAATGATTTGTAAGGATTAACACAAAGGAAATTTTATTCGTAAAATGACTTTTGGTCTCTTTTTTAAAAAAACCTTACTTTTCTAAAACCAAAATGGTTCATCCTTCTTTTCAAAGATGATTATATGAAATGTATGGGATGGTTAGCTGGGTGTGGTGGTGCACGCCTGTAATCCCAGTGACTTGGGAGGCTGAGACAAGAGAATCGCTTGAACCTGGGAGGCGGAGATTGCAATGGGCCGAGATCGTACCACGGCACTCCAGCCTGGGTGACAGAGCAACTCTGTCTCTCTAACTCTCTCTCTCTCTTTCTCTCTCTCTCTCTCTCTCTCTCTCTATATATATATATATATATATATTTATGTATATGTGTGTGTGTATATATGTGTATGTGTGAATATACATATATATACACACATTTATATATACACACACATACATATATTTGTATATAAACCATCCCATATAGATATATGTGGGAGATATATATATATGGATATTATAGAGAGGATGGTTTGGTTATTCCAAGTAAAGCACATGAAAATTAAAGTTCTATGATAATGACAAAGGAATTGCTGTTGCTGTACTGGAAATGTGCTGTGGGTTCTCAGTGTTCATACTCTTCTAAGGAAGGACACACAGTAGCTCTCTGCTTGCTGATAGATGGTTTCCCAGTGTGAGATTTGTTATTTGGATCAGAGTATTCAAATCAGAATTTAAATCTAGCGTTTCTATTTTAGTTTAGCTTCCTGATGATTTATAGAAATGAAATCTCATTTATAAAGTATAATAAAGATGACTGTAAGACAAAATCCAATTCTAAAAATATGATCTTTTTTCTAGTAGAAAATTGATGTAGGAAATCATACATTATTCATACATTTGTAGGTCATCTTTTAGAGTTTTCATTGAACTATAGAAACTATATATGGAGTTAAAAAACAAAATAGTGGCCAAGCACAATGGCTCATGTCTGTAATCCTAGCATTTTGGGAGGCTGAGTTGGGCAGATTATCTGAGGTCAGGAGTTGAAGACCAGCCTGTCCAACATGGAGAAACCCTGTGTCTACTAAAAATACTAAATTAGCCAGGCGTAGTGGCACATGCCAGTGATCCCAGCTACTCAGGAGGCTGAGGCAGGAGAATCGCTTGAAGCCAGGAGGTGGAGGTTGCGGTGAGCCAAGATTGTGCCATTGCACTCCAGCCTGGGCAACAAGTCCAAAACTCCATCTCAAAAAAAAAAAAAAAAAAAAAAAAAAAAAAAAACGCCCTATGTTTAAATGGCTCAAAGAAAAGACTATAAATGGAACTGAACATGTTTCTTAGCCTGGTAATTTTTCCCAGCTGTTTGAGCATTTTATATTGGTTATTTTATTTTATTTTATCTCACTGTCACCCAGGCTGGAATGCAGTAGCACAGTCATGGTTCACTGCAGCCTCAACCTCCTGAACTCAAGCAATCCTCCTCCCTCAGCGTCCCCAGTAGGTGGGACTACAGGTACACACCACCACACCTGGCTGATTTTTATATTTTTTGTAGAGGCAGGGTTTTTGCCATGTTGCCCAGCCTGGTCTCAAACTCTTAAGCACCAGCCATCTATCTGCCTTGGCCTCTCAAAGTGCTGGTATTACAAGGATGAGACACCACACTTGACCAATAATTTCTTTCTTTCTTTCTTTTTTTTTTTTTTTTTTTTTTTTTTTTGAGACAGAGTCTTGCTTTGTTGGCCAGGCTGGAGTGCAGTGGTGCAATCTCAGCTCACTGCAACCTCCGCCTCCCGGGTTCAAGCCATTCTTCTGCCTCAGCCTCCTGAGTAGCTGAGATTATTACACTGGCACCCACCACCATGCCCAGCTAATTTTTGTATTTTTAGTACAGACAGGGTTTCACCATGTTGGTCAGGCTGGTCTTGAACTCCTGACCCCATGATCCGCCCACCTTGGCCTCCCAAGTCCTAGGATTACAGGCGTTAGCCACTGCGCCCAGCCTGCCAGTAATTTCTTAATCCTACCTCCCTGCTTCTATTGCCTAGCGCATACATTTGAGGCTTCCATGGAGCTTTCTATGGTACTGAGGGATTTGGAGTGAACTGTGGATTTGGAGTGAACTATATCCAACTTTTCTAAGGTGGCTGGGGCAAATTCTGGTACAGCAAGTCAGGACAAAAGCCATATAGACATTAGGTAGAAAAACTGGGATATTAGAGGAAATACATGATTTCCACTTAAGGAAATGGAATGCCACATGTTTGCAAAATGTATTTCTCCTTATCACCTTCTTGACATCTGAATATTAAAAGCAGTTGTTAATTTCATATAATAAATTGAGATAGATCATTACTCTTGTAATAAATAATTCCTTTGCTAAATGTTATTTGTAAACTTTGATGGAGAAAGCGACTCTTAAGAGAACAAAGATCAGCCTGAGCAACATGGCAAAATCCTGTCTGCAAAAAATACAAAAATTAGCCAGTCCTAGTGGCACGTGTCTGTAGTCCCACCTATTTAGGAGGCTGAGATGGGAGGATTGCTTGAGCCCAGAAGGTGGAGGTTGCAGTGAGCTGAGATCATGCACTGCACTTCAGCCTGGACGACAGACTGGACTCTGTCTCAAAAAAAAAAAAAAAAAAAGAGCCACAAAATATACCTTTTGGTAAGACAGTAAATGTTATATGTTTTTTAACACAATAAAACCTGTATACACACATATAATATACCTTTGGGATTTTTAGGATTTTTTTTTCCTGGACTCTGAAATGAGAATCCTCACTGAAAATCTGTTTTGGAGAATTCCAATTTGTCAGTCAGTCTCTTGTGTAATTAGTACATGTGGCTTCCTGTTTTGTTTTAAATATTCTTCAGTTCTTCTCACTTTACAAAGATATATATTTTTTGTCCTAAGAAGGACAGAGCAATTAGTTTTTACCAGATAAGCCTTGAGTATTATGTCTAAGAAACATTCCGTGTATGTTTAAATTGTAATTATTTCCCAAAAGCTGAGAAAAGTGTTGCAACACAGTGAGCATTTGACGTCTGCACTGAGAACAGCTGAGTTATTTGTGCCATGTAGAAATTCTTAACTGTGGGCTGGGTGCAGTGGCTCATGCCTGTAATACCAGCACTTTGGGAGGCTGAGGCAGGCTGATCACATCACCTGAGGTCAGGAGTTTGAGACCAGCCTGGCCAAAATGGCGAAACCCTGTCTCTACTAAATATACAAAAATTAGCTGGGCATGGTGGCGGACGCCTGTAATTCTAGCTACTCGGGAGGCTGTGACAGGAGAATCACTTGAACCTGGGCAGTGGAGGTTGCAGTAAGCTGAGACCGTACCATTGTACTCCAGCCTGGGCAACAAGAGTGAAACTCTGTCTCAAAGCAAAGGAAAAAAAAGAAAAAAAAAAAAAATTCTTAACTGTAAATAGAATGTGGGGAAGGTGTTATGTGTGTCAGTAGGAATGCAGTAAGAAGATTGGAGTAAGACAGGATGGGGTTACATGTATATAAATGAATAAAATAAGTACTGCTAGAACTTGAGTCTGACAAACTTTTTGCCCTGAAGATAATCATCCCACTGAAAAGAAGACGCCCGGGGAAAATGTGCCAGATACTACCACCAAGCGCGGAGACAAACCAAATACAGTGCTTTCAAAGAAAACATACTGTTCGTTGTTACCAGTGTAACTGTAATTATTGTTCATTCTGTGTTAAATGACTGAACTTCAATTTTTACCTGTTAAAAATAAAGAGAACCTCTTTTTACTTTTGTATTTCATATGAGAGCCAATGGAAGAAGGATAGCATCTATGTAACATGTGCATGGTAACACTGGCCTGCTCAGCTGTTCACATTTGGCCTGTCCAAATAAGCAGAATTGAACGAAACAAAATTCCATCTCCTTTTAAAAATAACATAAAGGAGAAATCTGTCTCTGTGAAATGAGGCAAGCATTCTTCTGTTTCACCTTTTAAAATACTTTTAAAATCTTGCTATTTTCAACCGATTAATGACTTTTTAAAATTTTATTTCAAAGCAGGAACGTTAGGTCGGGCACGATGGATCACCTGAGGTCAGGAGTTTGAGACCAGTCTGGCCAACACGGTAAAACCCCATCTCTGCTAAAAACACAAAAATTAGCCAGGTGTGGTGGTGCATGCCTGTAGTCCCAGCTACTTGGGAGGTCGAGGCAGGGAAATGGCTTGAACCCAGGAGGTGGAAGTTGTCGTGAGCCGAGATCACGACACTGCACTCCAACCCGGGCAACAGAGCAAGACTCTGTCTCCAAAAAAATAAAAAAATAAAGCAGCAACATTAATCAAGCACTCTATATGCGCTCCATCAGTAAATAACTGTTGGGTGAGTTCAAGATCAGCCTGGCCAACATAGTGAAACCCCATCTCTACCAAAAGAAAGACCTTGGCTGGGTGCAGTAGCTCACACCTGTAATCCCAGCACTTTGGGATACCGAGGCGGGCGGATCACTTGAGGTTGGGAGTTCGAGACCAGCCTGGCCAACATGGTGAAACCCCATCTCTACTAAAAATACAAAAAAAATTAGCTGGGCATGGTGGCAGGTGCCTGTAATGCTAGCTAATTGGGAGGCTGAGGCAGGAGAATCGCTTGAACTCAGGAGACGGAGGTTTCAGTAAGCCAAGATCATGCCATTGCACTTCAGCCTGGGCAACAACAGCACAACTCCATCTCTAAAAATAAATAAATAAAAGAAAGGAGAACAGATTTATTAGATGTAGTCGTTCAGTATTTCTGTTCCAAAACTTTAACAGGATTATACCTACTAACATCAGAAATATAATGATAATTTTTTCATTCATTCAACAAAGATTTATTGAGCATATACTGTGAGCCAGGTACTATGCTAGGCACTACGGACATAAAACACTTTTTATGCAGAGACAGTCCTATGTTTCCTATGATCTTAAGGAGCATTTGTTTAGCATAAGAGATAGGACTACTTAAACAAAAACAAATAGGAATAATTAAACAGCAAACTCGGTGAAAGCTAAAGGGAACATGGTTCTGTGAGCATATAACAAAGGAGTCTTGGC